AATCCGCCAAGCCCCATGAAAGCCTTGTCGTTGAGAGGCAGCCGATTCCGAGCCAATCGCCAGCTAAGCGAAAACTCAGGGTTACTGAGGTAATCCGCCGCTGGCGCCCAAGACCAGTAGGAGCGAAACTCCTCCTCCGACATGCCGAGCATATCTCGTAGGGGATCCTTCGCGGGCCTCTCCACTAATTCACGATAGAAGACCTTCCTAGGCCGAGAAAGGTCACTGGACCGGGGAACGGCCCTCAAGGCCGACCGACACTCGCGAAGGAAAACCGATTGATCCCGGGTTTACGACCGCGCTCAACCCGCGAGATGGGGGACTGATGGTAAGGCCAGGAACGCGTCCCCAACAATCCCCTCCAGAATCGGATCTCCTCCAGTCAATGCGCGGCGTAGGAAAGCCAACCTAGAGGCACGGATGTGACTCGGCAGGTGCGGCATTCCCAGCCCCCCATGACACGGACGTTTAGTGCAGACTCGTCTGTCGACCCGATTCCCGCGTCCCCTCCATAAAATGGAGGATAGCGAGCGTTCGAGCGCCTTCTTGTGGGTCTTACAGAGAGGAAGTACGGACAATCGATAAAGAATCAGGGGGAAAATGTATGTAGCACACACCTCCGCCCTGCCCTTCACGGACAACCTCCGTCGATTCCAAGTCTGACCGGCGGAATCGAACTTTTGCTCGTACTTCAGACCAATTCTTCTCCAGCTGGAGGTCAGGCCCAAACCACACTCCAAGAATGCGGACAGGACCGTCTGTCCAACCGAAGCGGCCCGGAAGAGCGACCCCTTCCAGGCACCCAACCGCAAGCCGGACGACTTGTCGCGGTTTATTTTGGCCCCTGTCATCTTCTCGTACCGATCAAGCGCCTTCTGTACCGCCTCAATGTCGTTGCGGGACGACACGAAAGCAGATACGTCATCGGCGTACGCGGAAACCCTGGCTCGAGACCCTCCAGGAACGGCAATTCCATCGTAGGGGCCGGACTGCCGGTCTCGTCCTTCGGCCGGCGAAGGAGAGGCTCCAACGCCAAAGCATAAAGGAGAGGCGACAGCGGACAACCCTGACGAACCGACCTAGACAGCACGAACGCGTCCGACAACCTTCCGTTCACCTGTACCACCGCACTGGGGGAGCGATACAGGAGGCTAATCCAGCGGCAGAAGTTGGGTTCGAATCCAGCGGCCTGCAGGACAGCAGCAAGGTAGCGATGGTCGACCCTATCAAATGCCTTGGACTGATCCAAATTGATCAGCGCGGCTTCTTCGTCGTCTTTTACACCCTCTATGATCGTGCGGATCAGATGCAGGTTGCTCTGAATTGTTCGGCCCTTCACAGAACAAGTCTGCTCAGGTCCCAACAGAGACTCGGCAACTGACTGCAAACGCTCCTGCAGGATCTTGGCCATAATCTTTAACTCTGTGTTTAGCAGAGTTATGGGCCTGTAATCATCTAGGTTCCCCCACCACCTTTGCCCTTTTTCAACAGAGTGATCACACCCCTGGTGATCCGGTTGGGGATGGACCCCGACCGAAACCAGTTGTTGAACACTGCAGTCAAAATTGGAACAAAGATGTGCGACAGCCTCAAGTACAATTCATAGGGCAAACCATCCAGACCGGGCGACTTGCCTCTACCGACCTTCTTCAAAACCGCGTAGACTTCGCCCTCCGTAATCACTCCCTTGCAGCTAGCCGCTTCAGTCGCCGAAAGCCGAGGAAATTCAGCAAAATAGCTACGAATCTCCTCCTCACGGAGACCAGGCTCTTTGGTAAACCGGTTAACGAAATGGTGCCGAAACGCTCCGCACATGTCGTCAGTGGCCCGAAGAGTACGCCCCTCCGGGGATTTGACTTCACGAATGTAACGATCGCCACCTCGACGGACCTCTTCCCTGCGAAGATCTGCGCCCAAGTTCAGTGCTTCGGAAGACATCTTGCTTAACTTATGTCTAATTACCTGACCCATTTACCGCTCGCTATTCGATCGATCCAGGGCCTCCTTAGCTAAGGCTATCTCTAGGGGATCCCCCCCAGCCACTTCCCGGGAATAACTAGCTTTAAGCGTCTTCACCTTTTCAGCTCTATCTAGAGCGAGCCGTTTGCTGAAATCAGTGGTGAAGGACCTAATCCTACATTTAAGGCGTCCCACCATCTATTCCCGATAACCGCCCCCACTAGCTCCCGCTGCACTAGTCTAATTATCTGCTCCTGGAAGTCCCGCCTGTCCAGTAAAGACAGATTGAACTTCCAGTACCCAGCCATTCTAGGCCTATTGTCTAACGCTACCCGTGCACAAACGAGTTTGTGATCCGAATAGCCTACCCAGTGGAACGTAGGGCAATCTAGTAGTTCTATGTCGGCTCTTCTCACTAACATTCTGTCAAGGTAGCTAACCATCTTGTCAAAAGGCCAATTAAGAGCCCACGTCCACATTTTTTTTCCTTGGGATGATCGACCCGGTATCTATCGACGAGACCATAATCGTCGATCAGATCGACCAGGCTGCGATCGCCCCTCTCCCGCTAGCACCCCGCCCCCGTCTAACTTGGGGTCCAGGATGGCATTCCAGTCCCCATTAAAACTAGGCGCGTTGAATCCACCAGGAACGGCCCCAACCGCCGAAAGAACGAGACCCGCTCCCCTGGTCATTGGGCGCATAAACCGCAACGACCCGGAACGAACCACTTTTCACGGCAATATCGGCCACGATCAACCGGCCCTCTGCATCGGTATGCACAAGGTCCACCCTCGCATCGAGAGTACGTCTGACAAGCAAAGAAACACCTCTGGCAAACCGGTCCCCATATGCTGAATAAACGACAAAGTCATCCTCCAGCACACACGCATCGGAACTGCAAACAAAATGAGTCTCTTCGATCGCGGCGACATCCACATCAAATGACAACAGCTCCCGGAGCAGGCGGGCATCCTTACCCCGATCCCTCAAGCCATTCACATTCAGTGTAGCTAACTTAATTGCCATCGTCTAGGCCTGCAAAAAGAATAAGCGCAAAAACCTTATACACATACGGGGTGGAAATCTGCGTTGAGCAGGACCCCGACGGATTGTCCTAGACTACCAGTGCCCAATTCAGTCGTCATACGACCGCCCAGGACAATACCGCCGACGTCAATAGGGTACATTAATTTAATAGCCCTATATAAGGAGGGGTGAACTAAAACCGGGACCCTCCCAGAGCGAAAGTTGCGCAGTTTCTTCAAGTCGGGGTTGTCCAACTCACACATTCTAATGTTCGGAAAGGCCTCCTTGGCCTCGAATATGTGGCTCCACACTTTTAGGTAGCCACCATTGTCTCTGACACAGGTAATGACACCTGGAGCCTTTGGGAAATTACGGGGGTCCTCGACACCTCCGTCGTTTTGTACAGCACCTCCAACAGGGCTTTCCTTTGTTTGGACAGGCCCCTTATGTACTCTTCTTTGTCAATTTTACAGATTGACTCGGGGCCCTCAAACAATTTCTTTTTCTTCTTTTTCTCCCTAGCAGGATGGGGAGGGAAGGAGGTGGACGTGTGTGGTGGTGTGTTCAACGAACTTGGGGAAGATGTGGAGGGAGGGGGTATGTAGCACGGGAAGGGGAGGAAGGGAAGCTCTTAATGCCGGGAGAGCAGGACGATCTAATTGGCGAAACCGGGAAGGAGCGCCTCCTGGTTTTGACCAGACTGCGTTCCGCCCGGCTACGACCAGAAAAACTTTCTTGTGTTTTTCTTTCTTCTTCTTCTTCCTCCTCCTCCTCCTCTTCTCTGCACCTCTTCAGAGACGCCACTCGAGGTGGAGGCATGTGTTCAACTTCCATCGGACTGTCTCTTTGTTCCTTTGGTAGCTGCTGCTGCTGTTGCTCCTGCTGCTGTGGTTGTTGTTGCTGCTGCTGCTGTTTCTGTGAGGGTTTTTTGGGCGACTGTTTTTTTTTGCCACATCTTTTTCCCCTTTTTTCTTTTCAACCTGCGGCTTTGATGGTGATTGAGGCTTCTCCTTTTGGTGGGGGGGAGCTGGTACATTCTTCCCCTTCCTTCCATTTACAACCTCCTTCCAGGCTCCGTCAGCGTTTTTATCTCCTTCTGCCTTTTTGTCGTTCACCGCTACTGCTGCTACTGGTGGCATGGGCTGGCGTACAGGCTGAGGCTATTTCGTTGGGCAATCTTTCGCCATGTGTCCCAGGACACCACACACCCAACAATTTGGTCGCCTGCCTTC